GACATCAATATCATATCATGTACTTAGAGTGCCATCTCTTGGTGGTTTTCCAAACACATTATTACCTCAAAATTAATTATATTTTGCGTTATAATAAGTTCTAAAACTCGGTCGCGGTATAATGAATACATAATGAGAATTAGTTAGTGACACACAATAAAATAAGTATTTTCCTATATTTTTTTGGCTCTGGGGCCACCAGTGTATGGACGTCGAGCAATGTCCTTTCACGAAGAGAACATTTATTTGCTTCAAAACTATGCATCATGGTATAAGCTGTTAACAGAGTAGCTGTTACACCGTGAGAAACAATTGTTTCGTTGCAAGAAAAATACCCGAACTTGTAACGGGCGACCAGATGTTTTATTGGTTATCTAGTGTTTGTCGATGTTTATTGAATAAAGATGGTAATATTTTAACCGCGCAGTACGTCCATAGAACAGGTTGGCAACAGGAATGGTGTTGACGTGGCTGTTGTCACTTGGAAAGACAACAAAATCGTGAATCTAGCATCAAATTTTGCAGGAAAAAACCCAACATCGGTAGTAAGAAGGTGGGAAAGATCTAGCAAACAATATATTTCTGTTGATCGTCCTTTTGTTGTAGCGGAATATAATCGATATATGGGTGGTGTGGACCAATTAGATTGTGTTATGGGCCACTACAAAATCAAACTCCGAAGTAAACTTTGGTATCTACGAATTTTTTATCATTTCTTGGATATGGCTATGTGTAACTCATGGCTTCTGTTCCGCAGAATAATGGCTGAAAAGGGTAGTACCAGCAAAGTTCTTAACTCTGCTGATTTCAGAGAAGCTGTAGCAGAAACTTTATGTAAACATAAAACAATCAGCCGTACAAAACGTAAGAGCGATGTTGAAAGACTCATACAGGATAAAAAAATAAAGATCCACCTCAACACGTTCCTCCAAAGGATGTGAGGTTAGACCAATACGGTCACTGGCCTTTTTGGGAGGATACACGAATAATGTGCAAATTTCCAGGCTAAAAGGGTATACTCAAACAGTTTGCGAAAAATGTGGGATTGCTGTTTGCTATAACAAGTAAAATAATTGTTTCAAAAATTTACACACGTATTGGTTTTCTTCAGCATGATTAACGCAATGTTGCAGTCTGCAACATATAGTTTTTTTAATAATAAAAGTTTTTTTGTAATATATTTTTTCATTATTTTTCCAGTTAATGATACCCAATTTGCCATCAAGTATCAGTAAAATTAAAAAAATAATGATCTTGCGCTACAAAGGGTTAAATCATAAATGTAACAATATAAAGTCAAATACTAATTCATACTTATTCGAATGGGTTATAGATTCAGATTGTACTGAGCATTTCATCAATGAAAACTTTGAAAAATATATGTTTAATATTCAGAAACTTCAATGTCCTATGAAAATGTATGTAGCTAATGGTAATTATATTGTAGCTGAAACGAAAGGTTTAATTAAAATGTTCTGTAATAATTTTGAATTCTTAACTTCTAATCTAAATAATTAGATTAGAAGTATTAATTATTAAAATTTTGAATTTCAGTCTATTATCGATCAAAAAATTGGTTAATAAAAGACTGGTTGAAATTTAACAAAATCTATTTTCAAGGAATTATTTGAAAGGCTCTCTTGAAGGAAAATTGTTCAAACTAAAATTTGCTAAATAATTAGCAATAATGCTTCGTCTTAAGAAGATCTGTTGCACAAACGACTTGGATATTTGAAAAGAAGAAGTCTGCTTCGTATGGCTCTTCCATTTGATGTTAATCCTTGTTCACCATGCATGTTGGGTAAGTCAACGCGACTGCCTTTTTCCCCCGTACCGAGACCGAGGTCAAGACATATAGGTTGTCACGTATAGCGTACTACTAACAAAATTATTTTAAAACCTTATATATTATTATTAAACATATATAAGGTTTTAACATAAATAAAGACTTATAAAAATGAATCTACATATCAATAGTAAATAACTTAAACATACAAAAACAAAACGTAATAAAAAATTTGCAAATTCAAAACGCACTCTAATAAAAAAAATAAGAACATGAAATCTAGTTGGCCGCGCATCGAGCTCCCGCCGAAACCGCGCGATTTTTAAAAAAGGAACGACATCGCATCCTCGACAACTAGCGTCTGCGTACTTAAAACCACTTGGTTGATTTTGCAGAACTAATAAATTGTTTAATAAGCTATACATTAAAGTTATAATTAAATATTTTTGAGTTTTATTAAAGTAAGTTATTCTAACTACTATAAATTAACTACGCATTTAGTTAATGCCCGTAATCGGGGAGCAAGTTCTGGACCTATCCTGCTGCTGCTGTATCTGTGTTTTTTCCCTTCCACATCCTGCACCCACTTCGACCATCATCAAGGACGGTATCGTGCCACACTCTCTATACTATTAGTTGATGACTAATACAGAAAAAGAACCCCACCATAACGACCCTGAGTCTACCTAAAATTTGTATAATTCTATTTCATTTTTTTTATTGTATATAGTTAGTTTTATTGTAACTTTTTTTTACATGTAAATATATAGATTACTAAATTTTAGAAGTTTCATTGCTCATACTGAAAACAACGTAGCAAGGTAAGGTAATTCATACACAAGTAGCAGGTCCGTGTAGAATATCTGGAGCTGGAGAATATAGAATATCTGGATTCTCATTTTTGTGTAACTTTAACTATGAATAATAAAAATGAAGCTACTACAAATGTTATTAATTATTTTCTTTTATTAGAAACTAGTTTCTCTAAATATTGATGGAGGGGAGCAATAGCATGCAAAAGACATGGAAAATTTTGAAGACTCTAGAATAAATGATGAAGAACAACAAATAAAATCAGACGGAGTAAGTGAATCACCAAAATATTTAGAAGATTATCAAACTGATACTTACGGAAATATGTGAAATATAGATTACTGTTTATTAATGGAGTCAGGTCCGTTGTTATATGATGAAGCTATATTAGAAAGGTCTTGAGTAGAAGAAAGCAACTGAAACAGAGTACAAAGCATTTGAAATATGAAATACCTGCCAAAAGGTGAAAATCTATAGATATCAGATGGGTTTTTAAAATAAAACAAGATGGAAATAAAAATGCCAGACTTGTCGCTATAGGCTTCTAATTGAAGAATCCATGCAATTGCTCAAGGTTTCAAGCAATCAAAACATTACTATTCTTTGTATATAAAAGGCAAAACTCTTCTTCTGATTTGGCTAGATGATATATTTCTAATCGGAGAAAATAAAAAATTACATTAATAACAATAAAACTAAAAACGGAATTTAAAATAAAAGATTTGTGAGACGCAAAGGAATATTAAGGAATGGAAATAATAAGAGAAGATGGAAAAATCAAATCAGTCAAAATAAGCCAATCGATAAAATACTAATAAAATTTGGAATGCAAGACTGTACAGGTGTACATAGTCCAGTGGAATTTGGATTTCAGTTATTAAATAAAGAGATAATTACTTATGAGCCTCATCGTGAATAATTAGAATGCTTAACCATTAAATATATCTACCACCTCCAGACCTGATATAACTTTTAAAACATCATTTCTATGTAAGTATTTAAATAAGCCCACTAAAACATTATGGATAACTGCAAGGAGTACTTCGCTACCTTAAACAAACTTCAGATAAAGTATCTTTCATATACAAAGTCGGCTGTCAATGCAGCGTGTCGGTTGGCGATGGGTTGTTCTGATCCTATGGAGGTTTCCGAACCTGTTACCATCATGCGTAACGTTTACCCTATCTCCAAAAATGTTACAATAGTACAATGTAAACATGTATATTTCAAAAATTGCGAAAGCTCAAAAGTCGAGTCGGGATTTACATGACTTATTAACAATTTTTGATCACTTAGATTTTTAATTATTTACATGAACGATCTACATTGTCGCTAAAAAGTAATTAAACTAAGTTCTGTGCTGATAAAGTTAAATAAATTAAAACTAAGGTCCGCCTTAATAAAACATAAAAGTTTTTTAAACAATACCATTAAATCTGTGGTAATACATGTAGGACATGGCTTTTTTGGGGCTTTTTATTACGCTATTCAAGCCCTAAATAAGGTTATTTGAGTTTCATTTTGTTGGGAGTTGGTAACACTGACCGCTGCATTCAGTTAATCACGGTCAGTGGCCCGCTACTAGATGTCAAGTGATGAATGTCTAAAGTCAAAACCAGTTACCTACTGTAAGTTCACAAAAGCTATATTTATCTAATTCTTTAAAATGCTTTTTAATTATAACATATCGATAACTCTAAATAACTTGTCACAAAAAAGATATACGACATTTTAGAAAGAGCAAGTTCTAACTAGTTGCTCTTTCTAAATATTTAAAAAAGAAATTACTGCGTACGAAGTGGAGGGAGAAAAAGGAAACTTATCACTGATCTATAGTTATTTAATGACGATTAGACCAACCAGTGTTGAAGCAGAAAGAGCCTTTTCAGTCGAGGATTATATTTGTAGTTCCATCAGAAGCAGATTAGGGGATAGATCTATCAATACTATATGTTTCCTTAGATCTTTTTTCAAACACAGAAATTATTGTTTTACTGATTTAGGTACTTGAATTTTGCACTGCACTGCAGTAAATAAATGCTTGTTTATGAATGACTAATGTTGATTTTATAAGTACATATCAACGGTCCCTATGTAAAGTCCCGGATATGACAGTTGGGTGATTTTCACTTTTTTATTCATTTGTCTTCCCCTAACACAGCCCTATCGGCTAATGAAATAATAAAATAATAAGTGCAATTGTTATTTAAACAGTGATAGTACGAAAAATCATCTTATCGGGCAGCTAGCATCGTCTACTGTTTCAATTGACAGTACATTTTTCATGTCACTAACTGAAAAGCGTTGCGCTCGGAACGTCATTACGTAGGTCGCCTTGTGTAGCCCTCAACTAAATCTTGATGTAGCCGCATCAAGATTCAAATAAATAAAGGTGACAAATATGAGTCAAAGGTGTAAAAATAATTTCAAAACTTTAAATTTACCAGTTCCTGCTAAAGATAAAAGTGAATGTTTTGACAAAAAAAGTACAAAAGAAATGAGAGCTTCATTGGGTAAGTTTTATTTTGATAATATGAACAAATTATACACTACATTTAATAAGTAAGTAGATTTAAGTTATTTTTTTATATTTGTGGTCTTGAAAAAAACATTTGTTTTAATAATTAAACGTAATATTAGTGTAAATCACATAATTAAGTAAGTATCCCGTGAAAAAAGTCCTAAATGGCAGTTACTTACATAATTGTGCTACGGAAAGCTTGAAGTTGTTAAAATACTATGTGACAGTTACTTGATTGTACGACGGGCAATTAGTTTTCGTTAAAATCTAAGTGGGATTGTAAGCAGGAACAAACTAAGTGGGATTGTAATTATTTTTGAGAGTTAAGTGTAGTTACTAATTTATGCGTCAGTAATGTAAAAAATAGTTACGGGATAAGCGCTAAATTGTTAGTTGGTTTTGTTATAGGTACTAGGTATTAATATCACAATATTTTATTACAGAATCACCATTACCGGCAGTGTATTGTGTAGAAGAAATAGACAAATTACGAAAAATTTTGACCGAAAATAAATCTGAAGGTATAATAAGAATGAAAATGATAGCATTCATGCCTTAAGAGAGCGTTGCGCCAAAAATAAAACTATATATACGCCTGAGCAACGATTCACTTTAGTCAGGTGGTCCAAAGAAAGTGGATCTTCTTATGATGTAAGAGAAATAATGAGAATGACGTACTTAACTTCAAAAAACTTTTGGGTGGTAAGAACTGGACCAAAAATGATTTTAATAATAAAATCTACTGGTCCAAAATAAGAGAAGTACAAGTAAATTCTTCAGAGCCTGAAGTGCTGATCTACAAAATAAATTTTGAAGAAACTTCTTACACACACTTGATAGTGATAGTAGAAGTCAAAATACAAACAATAATGAAATTACACTTGCTTGCACTTGAAGCTCTTCTCGACTTTGTAGAAAGACATCGTGACCTCGCCCTTGGACTAGTGTTGCCAGACGTCCCGTATTTCACGGGATGTCCGGCAACAATGTCCCGACGGGACAGGTTCTGTCCCGTATATCAATTCGATTTGTAATTGCGAAGTCGACTGTGCTACAGTCTGACCGGTACCTATCTACCAACACAACGCACAACGTTCGTATGTATTATCCGCTCATGAAGCTCTATACTACGTGCATGCATGAGAAAGAATAATGTTGTTTATTTTTTGATCGACCGGTCATTGTTTTGCTACAGCCGTTGCGTAAATACGTAATTTATTACCATAATTTGTGCGTGACTGATTATAAAATGAGTGATAGTGACAATGACTCCGAGACGTCTAGAAGTAGTGTAACACCTTCCAAGAAAGCCTAAGGCTTACTAAGTATAATCCGAGCTGGGAAACTAGTTACTCCTGGTTAAAACAAGTAAAAGAAAACTCCTACAAGGCGTTCTGTCGCTTGTGCAATAAAGATTTATCTTGTGCTCATGGTGGTGTCGCCGATATAAAACAACATGCATTTACTAAATCTCACATGACTGTTGTTAGCAACAGAGCATCGAGTAGTTTGTCCCAATATTTTTTTCAAAACCCGAGGCACTCGTTGCCTCGGAGACAGAAGACAAGATTGCTGCTGGAGAGCTTGCATCAGTTTATCATACGATAAAGCATTCTCTTAGTTACAGTAGTATGGATTGTTCACACAAATTATTACCATATATCTGCAGTGATTAAAAAATCTCTCAGAGTTTTAGATGCGGCAGAACAAAGCAAAATTTATTTTATGCGAAATACTGGCCAAAGAATCTATTAAAGATATTTTAAAAATCGTCCAAGGAAAGAACCTATACTTTTCGATTGCTACTGATGCGAGTAATAAAAAAAAACGAAAAATGTTTCCAATTTGCATACGATTCCTTGACCATAGTCAAGTATCAACCCGTATCATAACACGGGTATTCAAAACCGTCTTCTGGAATTCGTAGAATGCAACAATGAATCAGCAAATGAAAGAATTAAGTTTGTAATTGACACTTTGGAGAAAAATGGATTGTCTTTGAATAAAGTTTCGGCATTTTCCGCTGATAATACAAATGTAAGTTTCGGCAAAAACCATTCTATTTATGAACTTTTATCAGCTAAAAATGAAAACATTGTTAAAGCTGTCCCAGAATGCAATGCTGCAAAACACAGTACAAATAAATTGGAAGTGGACGTCGAAAGTCTGATACTGAAAATATGCAGTCACTTCAGTAGATCTGCAAAACGAAGATTAGACTTGCAACGCCAATTCGAAGAGAATGAGTTGCAATGGGAAGAAATAATTAAACATGTTGCAACGAGATTTTTATCTCTAGGTCCTGCTATTGAAAGAGTATTAAAAATATGGCCTGCCCTGAAATCTCATTTTGTGGGATTCCGCAATGAATGCGGGCTCGTTTATTAGAGAATATAATTAACTCTGAGGAAGAAGGGAAAAAGACATTGGCATATTTATCATTTCTTCATAATGTTATGTTCTCGGAAGAAGTAACAATGAAGAAGATTGAGTCAGATACTCTGTCAGTTATTGAGATGCATACTGAAATGCACGGGATTCGAGAAGACGACGACACAATACACGAGAAAATCGAACAAAGAATGAAATATAACTTTTTTGGAAGTCAATCGAAAGACGTCAATTAAGTACTACCGCAAACGAATCAATGAAAAACGATTTCCTAAAATTTTACAATAATTTCTTAAGTTATCTGTTACCACGATATGATTTCTCCGAAAGTAACATCCTCTCCAAGGTGCTGTTTTTAAACTTTAAGTCGCCATTAAATTATAACAATTTTGAAAAGGCTGCGGAACTTTTAAAGATAGATGAAATGAATATGGATTGTTTGTATGAAGAATTTCAGTTGATTAAGAAAAACCTGGACATTGCAGCTACATCATCTGCTGAAAAAACGATGAGTGCTATTGAAAAGTGGAAGAAAGTGTTAGAAGGGTTTTCCTATAACGAAATCTCGAACATTTTTCGCATCATATCTTTCTTTTTCAGCATCCCAAGCTCAAATTGCTTCGTGGAAAGGGTTTTTTCACAAATGGTGTTAAAGTGGACCGATGTCCGTAACAACTGTACCCCTGACTTAATAAAAATTGAACTACTAACTACTTTTAATTATGATTACGATTGTATTAATTTTTATAAATATGTAAAATCCAACGAAAATTTGATAAAACTTGCGCATACCTCTGCAAAATATTCAAAAAAATAAAATTATAATTATATATTCAAAAAATAATTGGGTTTTATTTGTTTGGATAAAAAGTTGAAATCCCGTATTTTTTGCCCATTTAAGCGTTTGTCCCTTACAGGCTGAAAAAAAATCTGGCAACACTCCCTTGGACGGCTTAGGTCCAAGAAGGCTCGGGCCTTGGAGGATCGGCTGTGGCGTGAATGCGCCAAATTACTCAATACTTTGGGACCTGCAAGGACTGGCAAAGAATGGGCGAAGGTAAGCTCGGATTAAATTAAAATTAGAGTTGGTTTTACCAAATCAATGTAAAATTAAATCAAAATATTTACATGTTAGTGTTCTCTAATTTTTAAATGTCATCCCAACCAACTTAGTAGATATAGCATGATACAATTATTTTCCTTATTTAAATGAGAGTGATTAGTTAGTTATGTGTTTAAGGTAATGAAACACATATTATTACTGAAATAAATATCAACAAAATTTATTGTTTTTAGGTATGGAATGACCAAAAATGCAGAGTAAGAGCTAAACTGGTGCAAACTAATAGCAGTCATAGTGCTACGGGTGGTGGCCCAAGTCATGAACCTATTCTTACTCCATTGGAGGAAAGAATTGCCAACATTATAGGAAGAGTTGTTGGTCCCCTAGTTAATGTAAGGCAAGATCAATTTGCTCATTTGGAGGAAAGAATTGCCAACATTATAGGAAAAGTTGTTGGTCCCCTAGTTAATGTAAGGCAAGATCAATTTGCTCATTTGGAGGAAAGAATTGCCAACATTATAGGAAGAGTTGTTGGTCCCCTAGTTAATGTAAGGCAAGATCAATTTGCTCATTTGGAGGAAAGAATTGCCAACATTATAGGAAGAGTTGTTGGTCCCCTAGTTAATGTAAGGCAAGATCAATTTGCTCATTTGGAGGAAAGAATTGCCAACATTATAGGAAGAGTTGTTGGTCCCCTAGTTAATGTAAGGCAAGATCAATTTGCTCATTTGGAGGAAAGAATTGCCAGCATTATAGGAAGAGTTGTTGGTCCCCTAGTTAATGTAAGGCAAGATCAATTTGCTCATTTGGAGGAAAGAATTGCCAACATTATAGGAAGAGTTGTTGGTCCCCTAGTTAATGTAAGGCAAGATCAATTTGCTCATTCTGTGAGTATTAAACACGTTCCATAATACTCAAGATTTTTTAAAAAACTCTCTTCTGACTTCGCAGGCCATTTGCTCATTCTGTGAGTATTAAACACGTTCCATAATACTCAAGATTTTTTAAAAAACTCTCATACTAACTTCTGACTTTGCAGGCCGTCACATTTATTTTTTCTAGAGAAATCAGATTTTTTATAAGTAATAAATAGCACTGTTTAATTATTTTTAGGTACATAATAATATAAAGTTTGGGTTTCTATCATTGGATTGAGCAAGAAAGACATTGATACAAAACAGAATTCACTTTAATGACATTGGTATACTTCTGAAGTTCTGAAATTTTATTATCATAACTATCCTATAATGTACAACATTCCTTATAAACTCAAAGCTTTCATACATTTGTTACTAATACTAATTTAGGGTGGTGACGGTTTGAATGTACCACTACATGGAGGGAGTTGAAGTGGTGTATAACATTGATGAAGCACATTATTCATCATCATTTGAGTAAGTTTATCATTTTTATAAGATAGCAAATCTTTGTAAAATATTAAGTATTTCACTGACTTAAAATTAAAATTTAATTTCTAAAATATTTATTTATTTCTTCACAGTATCAACATTTGTCAAGACGTAATTGGTGAAGATGATATTGTGGTGATGCAATTAAATAACTCACCGCCTCTACCACAACCACCTCGTTAGCAACCGATCACAGAAATAGAGCCTCCTCCTGAAGCAACAGGTAACTTACATGTCTAAGTAAACAAATGTAAAGTCATAGATATTAGTATACAGTTCAACTTAATAATATATTTTTATTTTACAGAAAGAGTTATTAGAGTAGTAGAGCCAATCGTCACTCCTGACTAACCTCCACACCGGCAGCACGCTCAGTGACCTGTCTCTGAATATAAGCATGAACTAATTAAGATTTTTTTTTTGCACAGCAGTAGGCTAAATGTGATCTGGATATGATAATAAAAATAATAAATTTGTTTTCATATTATCATTGATGAAGAATAATCTTAATATACAAATTAGGTATATTATATTAAATTACTTATAAAATATAAGATATTATTTGAAAAATTTGATTTTAGGTAACAAAACTTCTCTAAAGGAGTCAAGAGCCATGATGTTAAGGGCTCAGGCTGATTTAAATCGTTCAGAATCTATAAAGCTATTTGCTGAATCTTGTAAGTTAATAGCAGATAGTATTGATCGGTTTAGTTGCCTGGTAATACACTTGATTTATTATAATAAATTTTATAAAAGTCCTCAATATTGTGTGATAAAAAATTGGTACTTAATACAATTAATAAACTAAAAAAAACTTATCGATTTCAGTATGTGTCGTCACAAGGTCTTAACGTTGAAAGAACGGAAAATCCGTAATAAGACCTAATAATGCTGCAATTCACCATCATCAGCCCTTTTATGTCCCCACTGCAGGGGCTCAGGCCTTCCTTGTGGCGGTTTAAGGAGGATGGGCCGTGACCCTCCACACTGGCCCAATGCGGATTGTATGGTATTAACAACTGTAAATGCAACCGGGATCAACAGCTTAACAGCACTTCGCCACCAAGCTTTTAATTAATTAGTTTTGTTATTTTTGCCTTTTATATACATATGTACTGATGGTTGTTACTTAAGTAAACTTAATTCTACATTATTTTTTATTTTTACTAATTGACTGATAGTTGTTACTTATCAGTCTATAATTTGTTAAATTCTACTGTAGTTATGCTGTCTTAATCATAGTACAAGAGAGTCATTACCAGCCCTTTTACGTCCCCACTGCAGGGGCTCAGGCCTTCCTTATGGATGGTTAAGGAGGATGGGCCATGACCCTCCACGCTGGCCCAATGCGGATTGGAGGGTACTAACGACTGCAAATGCAGCCGGCACCAACGGCTTAACGTGCCTTCAGAATCACGGAGTAGCTCGAGAAAATAATTTTTTGGTCACCCATCCCGTGACCGACCCTTGCGAAAGTTGCTTAACGACTACGATCGTGGGCCGTGGCGCTTATCCACTACGCCAGCGAGCTACTCAAGAGAGTAAAACTGCCTAATTAAAACACTTAATATGTAGTTGTAAAAGATTTCTTTAAATCAAATTTGAATATGATAAACGCGGTTGTGACAGGCTAGACTGAATAAACGATTTTGATTTTATTATCGTAATTAATTTTGTTTTATTCATTTTTACATTTTAAATCTATTGTATAGCCAGTTTCTACTATTATTATATTCCCCTGTTGCCCACAAGCGTTGTATAAGTGCATCTCGGGGCGCAAGGCCGAACCGAGTTAGCGGCGTTATACATAACATGAGCTCTGTGAGCTATGTTGTGTAAAACACAGCATGCATTCGTGATTTGCGCAGCGGCTGCGGGGGTGTAATGGAGTTTTCTGTCCACAAGCAGGCACCTGTGGGAAAATAAGGATTATGTAAACTGCAAAATTATTTATCATGGTAACAAAGAAAGTATTTATCATGTTACATGCCCGCGAACTGGTGAGTTAAAAACAATCTATTTTAAAAATGCATCTACCTAAAGCGCGCTTTGAGAACACCTATGCAACGCTCCACAACATTTCTAGCTGCTAGCTGCATTTTGGTAGTGCTCTTGAGGACCTCCTTCAGCGTTTGTGATGGGAATCCTGATATATAGCCTGATATGGATATATTGCCATCTTAGGTATTTCATTTGTTCATTTGGACAAAAGAATATTAATTTAAATAGTCACTTGAAATCATTGTAACAAATAACAAGCTTACTTAAAAGATAGACATCTTCTCCAGAAACTCGATGCAACCTTTCCAAGTAGTCATTCAGGGGATGATTGCCCCAAACAACACTGTCATGTGTGGACCCAGGTTAACTACTGTCCACACATAAAATATTTAAATTTGAATCGCACATCTGTAATCAAATTGAATGAACACATAAATATATCTTTAGATGATGATTTATGTCAATTATATAATATCATGTAATTTATTGGACACTTACTATCATAACATTCAAAGAATGGTTTCTTTTCCTGTTGAGGAATCTTTCCTCATGCTCATGAGGGCACACGATTGCAACGTGGGATCTATCAACACAACCCAGCAATCCTGTCAATATAAACTTTCTATAAAACCTGAAATTTTAAATATTAAAGCAAAATATTTTTTTAGGATATGGACTCGACATGGTATCATACTGAATAAAATAAATTTACATACTCTCTTTTAGGGTACAGTCATTGCTGCCACGTGACTACACTTTGAGAGTGACATTTCGTAGAGAAATGCTACGCAGGATACGGGAAGACCCGCAATTTTTTAATAAAATATTATGGAGCGACGAGTCATCCTGCAAAAAATATGGTTATTTGAATTTGCACAACCTGCATAGTTGGCAACTCTAAAACCCGCATCTCATAAGACAAGATAGATCACAATATCAATTTAAAATAAATCTATGGACCGGAATCATTAACGGACAGATTATTGGTCCACACGAGCTGCCAGAAAATTTAAATGCGGAGAGGTATTTGAGTTTTTTGCGAAACGACATGCCGTCGCTTTTGGGAAATGTCACTCCTGAAGTCCAAAGAAGACATGTGGCTGCAAAACGATGGCTGTCCCGCTTACTATGCTCTTGCGGTACGAGAGCACTTGAATACGGCGTATCGAAATAGGAGGATAGGGCGCTTAGGTCCAATATTGTGGCCACCGCGCTCGCCAGACCTAAATCCCCTGGATTTCTTTTATTCGGGTTGCCTAAAGGAAAAAGTTTATAAAGAACAAGTTACTAGTATTGAGCAATTGAGGACTAGAATCCAGACAGCAGCTAGAGAAATCAGCGCGAGCGGGTATGCTAGAAGGATTAAACGATCATTTATTCGACGTTGCAGAGCGTGTATCGCTGCAAATGGGGGCCATTTTGAACATTTTGTGTAATTTTAATATTGTTTAACAATGTTAAAGATTTTAATAAAATGATGACTAGTATGAATTATTTTATTTTGATTTAGCCAACAATAGTGAAAAAATGTGATTGGCATTGCAGTGTAGTAATTTTTTATGAAAATCGTAAGTAATAAACGTAACTAAAACTTAAAATGTATTTTAATGAAAATCTTCCTTTCTTAGATTAAAATTGAATATCTTTCTGTTGAACAATAGGATCTGCTATTATGATACCTTTTTGGAATCGGTAATAACAACACAAGCCAGAGATAGTACCATATTAGTTCAGCCTAATCGAACAACGATGGCTAGAGATGGTCCCATATTAGCCCAGCCCAACATAAAAACAACAAGATTAAACTCGAGCTAGAGATGGCCCCACATTAAAGGACATTATCAGTTCTGATGGTGAAACAAGACAAGTGCTATCAGTTAGTATGAATTTATTTCAAAAAAATTGTTGTTCCTAGTTTAATACAACATGATACGTATACATATTGCAATGGACAAACAAATAATGAAAAATAAACCCTGGCAGCATTCATTTTAAATTTAATAGAACACGCAGTAGCTAATGCTTATTCTGTGTCTGTGAATAAAACTTATAATTATTCATTAGTGGTTTATTTGCGCGTTTCGCACAATTCTGACAATGTTAAGTGATTAAATCATTAAAATTGTGTTGATTTTTAGATTTGAAATGAAAATGTAATTGGTAAAAGTGGTCGTCGTTCTCGTGACAATAGACTTGTCTACTCTTGACATTACATTACGACTATGTATTCTTCTCGAGTTCATCGTGCCCACATCGACAATATCTCACTCTCGATCCGAGAAAAATGACATTTGGATGTAGACAAAACGTTTCTCGAGTTTGTCATGCTATGCGCGCAGGACTGGCAGATCGTAAATAAAATAATTAAAAGGTAACATTCAAACAGCCATTAGAATAGGCGAATGACGCTCTGTTTGGTGTTTTGCACATAGTCTAAACTTAATAGTACAGGATGGCGTTAAAATAATATCAGACTCGAAAGTTAATATTAGTTCGTAAATATAATACTATCTTGTCATTGTTTTCAAGTTTTAGATATGTCAAATTACTTCCTTTTTGTAAAATAAAAATATCTTCAATTGACTTTCAACTTATGCCAAAGACTTTTGTTTCAATGGAAGGAAAGCTGGTACTCAAAGCACAGAGTTTTCTATCTTAAATACCAGCAGCTACTTAAGCACAGACTTAAGTTAGTTTTGATTGTGCTATCATTATATAAAAAATTTAAAATATATATAATGTTAATATCGAGGAAATTTGACAGATTTGTATAACCGAATGTGCGGATGTCTGTACTTTGTCGTGATATGCTATGTATTGCAGTGATGTTATATTATTATGCCGCGGCCGTCTGCGCCGCGTCTACACACGGCGTGATTTTCACCAGTGTTGTATGGCAGTCTATCGGAATGTGTCGACGGCGCCGGATGTATGCACGGACTCGTGAGGGTTTACATACGCTGATTCCCGATTTTTTTACAAAATGAGCATAAATCAAGAATTATTAATTATATTGATTCAAGAAAGGCCTGTAATATGGGATAAGACCATCGATGATTTTTTATGTCATTCAACGTGGACCTTGAAAATATAACCTACAAAGATTTACTAAAACGATTCGAGGCTCATTTCTTACTCAAAGTAAATATTTCGGTAGAACGCCATAAACTTTTTAATCGTAAACAAAGAGAAAATGAAGATTTAGAAGCATATGCTATAGACCTAAAAAATATTAGCCTACAGTGTAATTTTGGTGAAATAGCCGACAGTCTACTGAAAGACATATTCTCATGGAATTTAAACACAAATTGTGCTTATATAAGA